AGCGGGGGGCACCGCACGGGTGCAGCCACGATGGAAGGGGGAGCGTACGGGGCGGGCAAAGCCGGGGGCGCCTTCGACCCCCACACCCTGATCCGGCAGCCGCACACCATCCTGCGCGTCGTATCTTGGGTAAGGACCGCGGGTGACTGGGCCTGGGCTGGGGGAGGGGGGGTGGCGGGCAAGGGCAGCGCGCCCGAACCGATCCGGACCCCACCGGACCCCCGGTAGGGTAGCGGCCGCAGGTGGGGCGCCGTCCTGACGGGCTGCTGGCGCCCGCCTCTGTTTCTCCCGGATCCCACGCTGGGGTCCCGTCGCACGCGGGGGGCGCCCGCTTGGGCTCCGGGAGCTCCTGCTTTCTGACGCCCCCCAATAATGCCGCCCCCCCGCCCTCAATCGCCATGACCTCCAGGCCGCGGCTCTGCGGCTCGCGGCTCGGATTGCGCGCGGCCGCTCGCGCTGACCGGCGACCATGGGGACAGAGCCTGGGTTTCGGGTGGCCTTTTTTGGAGGTGGATAAGGGCGTGGATCGCCTTGCGGAGGGTGCACGGCGCCCCTGCCATGGACGTTCGGGGAGGAGAGGCTCAGAACAGGGGTTTCGTTCCTCTGTGTGGACTTTAGCTGCACGTTGGGAGCCGGATACCTGGGTTCCACCCGGGAACTGCCTCTCCTTGGCGCCGTGACCTTGGGCGCCACCCCAAAAACGTTCACCGAGAACGAGGAATTCATTTCTGAGGTGGAGAGCATCGCCTCCCCTCTCTTGCCTCAGTTTCCTGATTTATGGAGTCGGTGGGAGGAGCCTATGAGAGATCTCGGACGTTGACGTTTAACGACTTCAGCATCCCTCTCCCTCCCAACATACACCTGGATGGGAGGTGGTGTCTGGAAGAAAGCTCCCCTCCCCACAGCCAAGAGCAGAGGGGCCCTTCTAAACCCCCAGTATGCTGGCCCCTCCTTGCCCCGAGAGCGGAGTAGTGCCCCTGTTGAGATCTGGGGGTGAGGAAGATGGGACAGAGACAGTGAGCACAGATGGAGGGGTTCAGATGGCCTGGGTGCCACCCTGGGGAAAAGGCCAGCTGGTGCCTGGGTGGGCACCCTCAGCAGAGGGGTGCCTCTGAAGCCCTGGGCTCCTTCCTGGTGGACCCAGACTAGCGACCTGGATTGAGGTCTGCAGGGGAGGGGCCCTGTTAAGACACCCCAGGGGCCTAAGGTTAAGGCCAGGTGTGACCTCAGAGTGCTTAAGCTGCCCTGTTTTCCGGACCCTATTAGGGTCTGGGTGGGTGGGACTCCTTGGGTGTTTATCTCTGGCCTCCCAGCGAGGAAGAAGCTACTGTTCCCTTGTCTAAACATGTTCAAACCTCCACCTCGTGGCCCAGGAAAGGCACCCACATGTAAACCCTGCCTTCTCCAATGCCCTCTTTGAGGGCAGGGAAGCTGCATCCTGTTAGTCCCTGGGCATGGCCGTGAGGGTTCGTGGCACTGAACTCATCATCCGGAGACCCCAACGGGCCTGTGACAAAGGTAGGAGCCTGGAGGCACCTGCCCGATCAGGTGGACCGGCGCTGAGCACCGCTCCTCTCCACCAGTCCCAGCAGACTGGCCGGTAAGGGAGAAGACACTGGCTTTGTAGAGGATCATGGGAGGTGCCTGCCTGGCTCACTCGTCTTGTGGTAGCTTCATTGACCAAAGCTTGAATCCTCATAAGGGGGAGTGAGCCAGGTACCCCTATCATGGTGGCTCAGGCCCGAGCCCCAGAGAGCAAGGAGAGGGGTCTCTTGCTGTGGGAACCAGAGAAGTTTCATGGAGAAGGTGTCGTCAAACTGGGCCTGGGAGATGCAGAGAGTTTGAGTGTGAAGCTCTGGGCAGGAGAGGCTTCTAGGCAGGAAGGAGATGAAGCAACTGACTGAGTACCCTCTGGTGCCAGGTGTACTCATGGCTGTTGCCCGGCTAGTTCTCAGCAGCCTACTTACCACCTAAGGAGACTGAGGCTCAGAGAGGCCAAATGTCTTGTCTGAAGTTACTGAGCAGGTGAGTGGCCAAGGATTCGAACCCATGTCTTCTCTCACACAGTGGGACCATGTGGTGGTAGACACTGGTAGCCTGCTCTTTGCTATCACACTCCTGGGGAATGAGTATGGCAAGGTCTGGGCAAACTGAGATAACTGGTCACTGTCTTCAGGGCCCCTCCTATGTCCAGGTCCCTTCACAGCCCTGCAGGGCCCAGCAGTGTGCACCCATGGGTTCTTGATTTGTGAAATTTGCAAAGGAAAGATGTTTTTCAGTTATTTTTCCTGAAGAGGGCCCTCCTCAACGTGGTTCCACCCTGGACTCTGAGCCCCTAAGCTTTGCAGTTCCTCTCTGCCTCCGCCCCCTGGGGTAGGCCTGGCCAGACCTGGCAGGGCGATTATGAGTAAAGGTGGGGAGGAAGCTGGTGAATCGTCTGATGGTTCCACCTTGGGCCCTTCCTGCCTGGGCTGGAAGGGGCAGGTATCAGGCTGTGCATGCTGGGAGGGGGGTAGTGGCACTCTGCCAGGTGTCAGCTGTGACCTGCGGCAAGTGTCTTCAACCCCACCGTGTGCCCCAGTCTTCCCATCTGAACTGGGAGATTGGGCCAGGTCAGAGGTTCCCTGTGGCTAGAATTGCAGCCAGTTGGTGACTCATTTCTTTGTTCTGAAGCCAGATAGAAAGACTGAGCCACATTATTGGCGGGGAAGGGCCACCTTTGACTTGGCATTGATATTCTTACCTTCTAGGGGCCGAAATTACCTAAGAGAAAGGTCTTGGTGCCGGTAGATGAGAGGTTTTGTTTAATAGTCCGTCTTGACAAAATAGAACACTTGAAGTCTTGAGGTTATTAGAGTTGATCTCTAAGGGTTTTTGACTGTAACATCCCCTGATTCTGTTAGGACGTGTATCGTTGCCCCCATTTTAAAGATGGCAAAAGTAAGGCTGCTGCTTCTGCTGGCTTCAGGCTCAGGACTGTCAGAGCCACAGTTTGAACCCAGTCTCCAGGCACCACCTTCAATGTACACCCTCTGGCTTTCTTGGCTGGGTTGTGGTGGTATTAGGGGTGCCTGGGAGGAGGTGGCTTTACACCCCATCTTCATTAGCCCCCTTCCCTGTCATCCTAGGTTCACACTGATTAAGAGCTGAGCTTGCCTTGCAAATGCAGCAGATCCAAAACAAGACCCCTCGTGCCCCCCTCCCAGCCAGATTGCCCAAGCCACCTTTATATAGACGTTCTGGAGCCCACTATGGGGTGAACGGCGCCCAGGGAGAGATGGAGGCATGGTGTCCACTTATTCATTCCCAATGACCAAGTCTCTGCTCAGTGCCAGGCTCTGTGTCCCAGCTGGGGAGGCTCAGTCTGGTGAGGTGAACAGAATTGAGCCATTCAGGAAGCTGGGGACTCTTCTAGAAGGAAGTGTGATGGTAGAAGCTGTTTCTGCAAGGAGGATCATGGAGGGCTTCCAGGAGGAGGTGACTGCTGAACTGGATTCTGATCAAGAATTGGGAAGCACACTCTAGATAGAGGAACAGCAAGTACAGTCCAAATATATGGAGGCATGAAGCCCAGAGTGAGCTGTTGGAGACCAGGGTGTGTGAGAGTGACAGATTGAGAGGCTGGAAGGACAGGTGGGGGTGGCCCAGGATGACAGCCTCATGAGCTGGACATCACCTGGGGGCAGTGGGGAGCCACAGGGAGGGCTTTTGAGCAGGGAAGAGGAATGTTGGCTTGGAGATGTGTGTCCTGGCAGGAGGTCCAGGCTGTCTTCTCCCAGCACCTGGCACGGCCTTCATTTATGTGGGGAGGTGGGTCCATGGCCCTCTTCCACGGACCATCATGGGTATTTCTGGCTGACAGCCCTACAGTCTTCCTCATCTCGTGCACGCCTGTGGCCAACAGAGAGACAGAGGCTGCCCCATCTCTCTCTGGTCCAGGGTGGGGTCAGCCACACAGGAGCCCTACAGGCAGCGTTGGCTGATAGGTTTCTGCCACGGGTCTTGGGCACATCCGTGTGTACAGTGGCAGCACGAGGCTTGGTGACCCAGAGAGAGCTGGGGTTTGACGTCAAGAGCAGAACCACCAGAGTGGGACCTTGGAAAAGCTAAGCCTCCGTTTCTTCATCTTTAAAATGGGACTGAAGGGCTGGGGTTTCAGGAAGGAGTCAAAGGTTTTTGTGGATTGTGTGTTGTGTAAGGCTTGCCTGCGTCATGTGGTGGTGCTGGTGAGCCCCTCCTGGGTACTCAAGAAGTGGGTTTTGTTACCCCCACTTTAGATGAGAAGCCAAGGGTCAGAGGTCATTGGAGTTGCTGGCCTCAGAGCCGGTAGCTGATTGCAAGGCTGTGGCCCTGCCTCGGGGAGGTCCCCAGCCTCGTGGGGGAGTCCCACATGACCGTTGGCTTGTGCCAAGCTGTTAGGCAGGCCTGAGCCTGGGGGAGAAAGAACAAAGGCTGGGAGGAGGGGGGACACAGCCCATGAGGAGGCGGGAGGGAGAGAAGGCAGATGGCAGGGCGGGTGGAGGGAGCGTGCTTGGCACCCAGACCGGAAGAACCAGATGTCCAGGCGGGAGGCAGAGCAGAGCAGGTGCCTGAGGTACCTAAGGCCAAGTTCCACACCCCACTCTGGCCCTGGCTGGCCGTGTGACTTGAGCGAGATGCCGGTGGTTGCAGGGCCTCGGTTTCCCCATCTGTCAAACGGGTAGGGGACAGTCGGCTTGTGCTGGTGTCTCCCAACTTTTCCACCCCCAAGGAACTGCATTCTTGCCCCAGTGGATTCCAGACTGGACATGTTTAGACGAGTCAATCTTTAAGGAAGTAGTGCCCAAAACCCCTGTTGTGGGGAGTCCAGAGCAGAGGGTGCCTGAGCCCCAGGCCCACATATGTGAGCAGAGTGGGGTGTCAGCAGAACCTGACAGGACCCCATCCCGTGCTTCTGGGCACCTCACTTGCAGGCATGGTGTTTTGCTCTGTTCCCTTCAGCTCCGCTGGGGAGGAAGGCTGGGGGATGGGCCCTGCATCTCTGGGGCTATAGGGGATGGGGTGGCCATCTGGGACAGCCCTCAGGTTCAGACCAGGCTGTTTAGAACACGTTCACCCCAACAAGCCAGGGCTTCTCAAAAAACTCAGAG